AGAAAAGAAGGAGAAGAAAGAGAGGAAGCTGAAAGAAAAACAAGAGCAGAAAGAGAAGGAGCAAGAAGTGAAGAAGAGAAAGACAAGGGGCTGGTTCTTCTGAACAAGTCTCTTGTTCAGGGCTGTGCCCCGTATTCTTCCCCCATCTTCCTTCTGCCTCCTCCATCTTCCCTTCTCCCTCCTCTTGTCCTCACCTTGTCGTCCTCCACCATCTCCTCCACCCTCGACCAGGCCTTCATGCATCCTCTTCTCCTTCCTTCGCCCTCTCTCCCCATCCCTAACCCTCTTTCACCTCTCTCCCTCTACCTCCACCTCTTTCCTCCCCCAAAGGGCAGCATGGTGGCTCAGTGATCAGCGCTGCAGCCTCTCAGAAACACCTCCACATGTTTCTGTGGTGAGTTTTTTTTGTTTCCTCGTGTTTGCGTGGGTTTTCCCCGGGTTCTCCGGTTTCCTCCCACAACCCTTAGCCTAATTGGATATTCTAAATTGTCCCCCAGATAATTCAAAATAAAAAAAATCAATCAATCAATCAAAAGAAAACATATTTCTGCATGTGTGTGGTTCTACTGAATCAACTTCATCTGGCTGCTGGTTGTTGCTGTTGTACAAACACTTGTGGTTTTAATTGACTGAAGGTTTCTGAAGCGTATTATAGATGGAGAAGTGATTTATTGATCATTCACAGGAAAGTAAATTCTTTCAGCTACAGTGGAAGCATTGTAGAGCGGTTTTCCAGCTAAAAGGCTCCACAATCCAAAAATATCCTCCAGTGTTTTCTGTAATAGCCGTACAGAGGGGACATCAGTGTCAATTTTCCAAAACATCTGAGGAGGATTTAGATCAGCGTTGTGTTCAGCTAACAGCAGAGGTGTGGAGATAATGGATGGATGGACACTAAACTAGAAAACTAGACATGCTAGTCATAACAACGGAACTTTTATGAGTAACAAACTTTAAAAATGTGTTCATATTTATAATAAAGTGCATAAAACTTTAAAACATTCATTTTAATTAATGTGAAAATACTAGTTGAATCAACTTAATCTTTCTAATTAGCACATTAAGTCATGAAGTTCATGAAAAAAAATTAAATTCTTTTAATTTTTAAATTTTTTTTAAGTGTAATCACCTAGTTAATGATTGATTTATGCTACTAATCATTTTAAAAAAAGAATTTAATCCCTTTGATTGATCAGGAAAAGCTAATTCCCTGAACTCAGTGTCATGTGTTGGTTGAACATAATTTTATTAAAGTTTTCAGAGTATTTTAAAGTGTGCTCCGTTAACCCTGTTACTGTAACATCATCTCAGCTTCAGTGCGGAAACATTCTGGTCTGAAGATGGTTCTGAACAAGAAGAAGTTCGGATCTTTTTAACTTGATGACCGAAGCAGATAAAGATCTACTTTTACTGCCTCTGGATGAAGCCGAGTCTCTCGTCTACCTGTGCGACTTCAGCCGAGGCCACCCGAGAGCCACAGGAGCACTTTCCTCCTGCGTTGCCAGTTTTAAGCTCATTTGTTGGAGATCAATGCAAGCTGCTGGCAGACGCTTCCAATTAGTGGATGCTTCAGCGACACTTTGATTTAGGCATTACAAGAGCCCGTCCTGCGACACGTCAGTCGATATTATAGGGGTTCGGGATCCATGCAAATCCTTGAAATATCATTTTACCATCACCGGCGCATATTATTAAAGGACTGAGCCGGTTTCTGTGCACTAGTTTGGATTATGTAACATGCAACTGCTACCATTCAGCATCACCACTCCCCTCTGGTGCTCTGAAACGTGTCCTAACAGCGAACCAAACACATTTAACCAACCTGCAGACACTATATGTGCAGCTCCTAACTGTGTTTCTCTGTGACACTAAATACAGAGTTTGCATAAATCTCAAACTGAGCCTCGTGTGTCCTCCCCTCAGAGCTGTTTGAGTGACTGTTTTGTTGCACATTGATGGAATTAAACTTCAGAAAAGCTCCTGTAAGCTCACAGTAGCACCTTGGTGTTTTTTTTTTGTAACCTCACGCAGCCCTGATCAAGATGAACAAGCAGAAATCAGTGTGAATCTGTGAGCCAACAGACCAGAATAAAGCAGCTCAGGGAGGAGGCGCGGCGTTAAACGTTGGTATTAGTTGCCATCTAGTGGCTGAAGCTGAAGTCGCAGCGCAGCAGCTTTGGCAAGTCCTGTGTTTTTAACAGCTAAATTTGGATGCTGGCTTTATAAAGAAGGTACAGTGTGGGCAGAGTCAACAGAATCCAGATTTTTAATCAGACATGAGCCTCAGTCTCAGCGTCTTCTACTGTCGAGGCTGCAGCCACAAACTATAGGAATGTAAATATGACGGCCGTCTGGTGCTCAGCAGCAGGTTGAAGTCATATTCTGAGTCATGGTATCGTCTTTGTTTTAGCTTTTATTATGAGAAAAGGCACAAAAAGTACAGCTTGGTATTGACAGATAATACTGGAGTTATAATAAAGTAATAATATAATAATAACAACAGAGAAGTTGGTCGCAAACAAAGTACAACAAACCAAAATAGCTGCAGGATTTAAAATCAAACATTAGAGAAGATAGAATTAAATTTTAACCTTAAATGTCATTAAGATTATGATTCTTGTGTTGAGTGATATCATTAAATAACCATTTAATCATTTAAAAAAAGAAACTAACAGAACTGATTTCACTGTTCCAGAAAACTACAATAATATACGTATTTTGCAGGACGCTGCTTTTTTAGAATGCTTCTTTTTCAGTGACTCTTTTTTTTTGTTTATTCTAAAGAGGAAGCAGCTTTTCAAGCCCACAGACACCAGGAGAAAGAAGTAATGCAGAACTATGCACAGTTTTGGGTGGAATAAACCTTTAAAGGCAAAACCTGTTGATTATAAAGTGCTACTTTTTGTGGAATAAACCTTTAAGACTGCAAGTACTTCGACAGAAAGTTCTGTTTTTGGCAGAATAAACCTTTAAAAGTGTAATCTGTTGGTACGAAAATGACATTTAAAACCATAAGTGCATGGATAGAAATAAGTATTTTGGGTGGAATAAACCTTTAAACTCATTCTTCAAAAATCCCTGTCTGGGTGGAGTTCATCCGCTTCAATAGGTGGCGCTGTTGCAACAAACAACATATTATTTTAGAGTTTTTAACAATATGTTGTTGTGCAGAAGAAAGAAACACAACACATGACTGAAAGCTTTTGGTGGAGGATATTTGTGATTTGATGAGCACATTACTGGGATTCTGAGCTCCTTTAACTGGTTTCCATTTAAATGTCAAATAGATTTAAGGTGCTGCTTATTGTCTGTAAGTCTCTGAATGTTCTGGGAGCAAAACATATCAGACGTTTGTTTGCTGAAGTCCAGAGGGTCTCTGAGGTCTGCAGGTCAGGTGGTGGAGCTAAGAGGTCAGAGAAAATCAAACAGTGTTCAGTCAAAAAGCAAAGTCTCTTTTTCCTTTTAATTAATCAGTTTTGTTTTGTGTGTTCTCAGCTGTTGGTGCTTTTTTACTAACTTGTGCACTTTCTGCAGTGAAATTCCTCCATTCACTGGAACTGCAGCTTTGACTTTTCAACCAGCCGCCACTCCAACGCACAAAGTGGTGTCCCCTAATACAGCAGCCACAGCGGTGGGCAGCTTTAGCGGCCAGAGAGCATGTCACAGCGTGAGTTTCCACATTACAGGCAGAGGAAGGTGAGTTCAGAGAGCCGCTGAGAGGCTCCTGAAAGCAGCAGTGTGGAGCACAGAAAGTGGAAAATGCCACAATTCTCCACGGCAATGCATGCAGCTCCAAACAAAACGCTGCTTTTTATGCCATCGAAAGCCGAAAAGGCCCCACATTTTACAGTTTATTACAACACACCGTCTCTGGCGTCTAAGGCCATATTCAGATCGTCAAAAGCCTGTTGATTACGCTGGTTTTAATGCTGTTTTTCTGCATCATATGATAATGAACCACCAGTGAGGAGTCAGACCAAAGAAATGCTTCTATGAAAAGAGCCCACCGTCGTCAAACTGAAACTGTGTTTAAAAGTAGCACCAGAGCAGCACAGAGGTCGTTTTTTTTTTTAGCTTTTGGTGCCATAAAAAGCTGGTATGATGCAGAAAGCGGAGCTTTTACAGCTGTTGACAGCGTAAAAAGCACATTTGAAATTTGAGCACTGTAAAAAAAGCAGCTTTTGAAGGCATCAAAAGCCCCAAAAGTTTTTAGAATCACAGATACTTTATTGATCCGTGAGTGGAAATGGCTTCTGTTAAGGTTGCTACCAAGAAATATAAGCAGGACAAAGTATATCGATGTGTGACCAAGAAATAGAAGCATAAGTAGAACGAGTATAGTATGAATGTCAAATGTGCTTCTTTTAAGAAAATAAAGTGCAAGCGTACAGTGTAGTAAGCAGCGTTTAATTGCACAAATAATAGTGGTGTTGTAATTAGAGCACCATAAAAAGCACTTTTGTAAATCAAACGTGGTAAAAGGTGGCACCTATTCAGCTTTTGATGGCTGTGAAAAACTGTGCATTTCATAAAAAAGTGGCATTTTTTTGCTTGTGGCTGAGTAATTGTAGAAGCACAGTGCCAGAAAAAACAGCTTTTATTCCATTTTTAACAGCACACTAAAAACAATTTCCTTTGGGACAAACAAATTCTGTCTTGTCTTATCTTAAAATTGGAGTTTTTTCAGCTTTTCACTGTAGAAAGTGGACCTTTATTGACATTAGGTGGTGTAAAAAAGCAGCGTTATAATTGGAGCTGGTATGAAATGATGCTTCTTCAGGTTTTAATTGCGTGAAAAGTACCACTGTAACTAAAGTGTTGGTAAAAATGGTGTTACGCTAGCGTTTGAAACATGAAAGAGCTGCATTGTGATCAAAGTGCCCGAGAAAATGGCACTTTTTCAACTTTTTACAGCTTAAAATATGGCGGGGTTTTTTTCTAATCGCACAAAAACAGCGATGAATTGTGGCACTCTCGGGTTTCCGTACGGAGGGAGGTGTCGCGCTAACTGCTGCTGCATGAGTCCACACCGTCAGTCTGTGCTACACCCTGCTAACAGCTAACTGGCACAAACATGTCGGGGAAGAGTTTTCGAGTCAGTGACGGCGACTGGATTTGCCCCGACAAGAAGTAAGTCCTCCAAACATTCAAATAATAAACCGTCTTCGTGCTCACCGGAGGTTAAAGTTAGCAGCAGATGCTAAATTTGAAGATCGTGCTAACTGGCTAACGGCAGTTAGCTCGGGCCTGCTAGCATTTGGCTAACAATTTGAGCTAACTAGTGAGGTTTTTGATCTTATTTTCAACCCCATTAGCTGCACTGTAATTAGAATGAATAAGTAGACTGTGCATTTGAAGTCAGCAATCTGTTTTGCGTGTAGAAAATTGGTGTAAATTAGCGGGAGCAGGAGGCTAACTGCTGCTAGTCGTTAGCTTCTGTAGGCTGAGCTGAGAATCTGCACACAGTGCTAATGTTGGGGGGTGTTTACAGTGTTGTAGACGCCAAGTTCTGAATGCGGAATCAGCACTATCATGTTTCCAGGGAACTGCAGTAAAAAAGGTGACAGACAGGGCAGCTGCAGATCACAGCTGAGGCCTTCAAAACAGGGAGACCAGCCAGAGAGCTAAAGCTAAAGGAGAGTCACATGGAGCAAAAACCTGCAGATCATCAGTCATCCAGGTCACTTTTACCTGAAGGACTTCAGTAGAAAGAAACTGGTTCTTGGAGACATTTCAGTTTCTTGTAGGAAGCTTAGATGGAAATTAAATATCTGCAAGAACCAAAAGGAGAAGTGCAGTTTTAAAGAAGCTCTCTAAACCTGAGGCCTGAACCACCAAAGTTCAACCTTTGCAGGATGTTTTTAATCATCTCGCTGCACTAAACAATCACATGAAGCTGGTTGTAAACTCAGAGCGCATTCACTTAAAAAGGGGAAATGCTGTCGCCAGATAACCAAACATAGAAGCTCCAAGTTCCTCCTAAGATGAACCTGCTCTAATCCCAAACTAATACCAAGAGTTTAAAGATATAAAACAGACTGAAAGTAAAACAGCTGCTGCAGCCAAAGTCAGGGTGGAAAAGCTGCAGAATGTGAGTTATTAGGCTTATAAGTGTCACTGAGTTTAAGCTGCTTAGATGCATTCATACCAAGATTCACTTCAAGATCCCCTTTATGCTGCTCAGGAAAAAGACAAATTATTTATAGAATACATAATCAAGCAATAAAATGAATAGTTTTCATGGTGGTGTGGAGGCTGAATTCAGTATTGTCAGTTTTATTCTTTCAGCTGGTGTTAAATAGTGTTTGGACCAAGTAAACGTAAAAATCGAGAACTTGCTGCAGATCTCGTGAGGTTTTAGTGTTTTATTCGGTTTCTGTTTAATGATTCTGTCGCTCTGAAGACTTGAAGAACAATAAAATGACTTTGACGTCTCTCGCAGCTCTACAAACTCTGACCTTCCTCTCTGACTACTGACTCTTTACTGCACAGCTGCTCTTTTATATTTTTAGTTGTGATCAATGTTTCTTAGTATTGTACATCTTTTTTTTTTTTTAACTTTAGGATAAGATAACTCTTTATTAATTCCACAGTGTGAAAATGTACAATGTTACAACAGCAAACATTTAAGAAATAAAGTACAATAATAAAAAATAGACCAAAATGTGCACAAGTAATAGTTCTAAAATAAATCAAATGCACCAAGCACCAGCAACTCCACTTCTTATCCTAAACACAATGACAACAAAGGCTTTATTTTCTATTCTGTTCACGATTTGCAGCTCTGCAGGATCTTCAGGAACAGCGATGCTGTTTTCTGAGAGATTACCCTTTAATAAGCCGTTATCTAGAATATAACCGGCTCCAGAGCAGATTATGTGTTCAGCAGTGTCCTCAAGTTAAACCTGAAGTTACCTTGCTAACCTCAAAGTACAGATGTCTGCTCTGCTTATCTGCTGCTTGTACCACATTCAGCTCAACGATTACGTTAAAGCCACATCTGCGTCGACATTAAATCTGTTTAATCTGCTTCTTCCAGGTGTGGAAATGTGAATTTTGCCAGAAGAACGAGCTGTAACAGATGTGGCAGAGGTGAGTCTCCTCTTTCTCCCCGCTGTGTTGAAGGTTATACTTCTGAGAGAAACTCGGGGATAAAAATGTGTTTCACTGCAAACTGCTGTTTTGATTCTGCAGAGAAAACCACAGAGGCGAAGATGATGAAAGCAGGAGGAACAGAGATCGGGAAAACTCTGGCTGAGAAGAGCAGAGGCCTCTTCAGTGCCAACGACTGGCAGTGCAAAACGTACGACTGTGACTTTACATCTACCTGTCGCTGCAGCATGGAGTCACAAACTGTTGTCTTAGATGAGATGTGAGGACATAAATCATTTGATTCACTTCAATGTGGTTAAATAGAGTTTTTTTCCTTTTTCTTACAGATGTGGGAATGTGAACTGGGCGAGACGGTCGGAGTGCAACATGTGTAACACGCCTAAATACGCCAAGCTTGAAGAAAGAACAGGTAACCGACAGATCGCCACAGTTTGACCGTTATTGGTGCGTTTTTGATCTCAGGCGTTGATTGATTGGTCTCTTTTTCAGGTTACGGTGGAGGGTTCAATGAAAGGGAGAACGTGGAGTATATCGAACGGGAGGAATCTGACGGAGAATACGACGAGGTGAGGACAAACCAGAGCGTCCGCATTCTCATGAGTTCAGTCTCTCAACAGGCGCACTTACATTGAACTGGGATGTTTTCTTTCCCACAGTTTGGTAGGAAGAAGAAAAAATACAGAGGAAAGACCAACAGCACGTCTTCCTCAAAGGAAAGCGAAAAGAAAGAAGTGGTGAAAGATGAGGAGGAGGAGGAAGACGAGGACGAGGATGACGAAGAGGGCGACCTTTCAAAATACAAGCTGGATGTAAGATCAGTGCCTGCAGCCGGAAACTCACATATCTCGTAATGCTGATCAATCAGGGCCACTAACGACTAATGTTCAATCATTTAATCTATCAGCTGTTTTACAGATTCATCTAGAACATTATTTTTCCTCCTAAAACTAAAGTGAACGTTGAAGCTCCAACTGCGTGAAGCAGAACAGTTCAAAATGGAAACAAAGCTTTAAAGTGCAAAACTGTGGAGTCACACTGACAACATAATAAAATGAAATTAAAAACAGGCTCTGCTTCTATTAAACCCCTTAACAAAGAGAAAACGTTCCGTCTGTATATTAAAGGTCAGCATGGACACGGCTGCTCAGAG